TCGCCATGGACTCTTGCATACACCTTGGTGCATGGCTGGTTCATTCGCACGCCCATCGATCCTTGTATGCCGCACTTCATGCCACACTGCTGCTGCTGCTGCTGCTACTGCAGCATTTTCACATCCATTTCTCTTCTGTACCTGATTGCTACTGCACTTTGTCTGCCCTGTGCTGCTGCCGCTCCCCTCCTGGTTACCTGCATGTAATGACTGTTCTCTTCATGCCCCTCAGTAAATCAGTTATCTTCCCCTCCAGATGGGTTCTTGTCCCCTCTGATCAGCTAATCAATTATATCGTGGCACGGTTGTGCAGTGCCTTTTTGACGCTAAGCTACAGCCTTCGCTTCATGTTCCTTGCAGCTCCCAAAGTGGCACTGGCACCACTCAACAGATTTAGCTGCAAAAGTGTTTCTTCCCTGTCAGGTTCCTCGATGATCTGTGGGAACTTTCTGTGGCTCCTGTCAGTTTTAATCCCTCCCTGGAGAGCAATAATCAATCCCAGTATTTCTGATGCCCCAGGCTTAGGTCGTTTTTTTTGTTGGTTAAGGATTTTTCTTAGTGAAAAAACCCCTCCCAATTATTTTCATGTTTTGTTGTGATCTCAACCCAAAGTGTTTCTTAAATGCTGTAAGTGCTTAGCATCTGCTGGTGTGCTGAATAGGTGGAAGGGTTCTTTGTTTAAACTCTTCGGCTCTTTGACTGCTACACAACAGTGTGAAGGAGAGTGTATTTGCTCCGTGGGACCAGAGCATCAAGTGCCTTCTATTATATCTGCTCCAGAGAATTTCCTGGGAAGTGTTCAGCCTCCATTTCTGTCTGTAAGGAAATCCTCTTATCTGGGCAGAGCAATAAATAGTGCTGCCTCCTGTAATAGAAACAGAAAAACACATTCTTCATGTTGCTGTTTTTAAAAATGTGGGGTTTAAAATATTATGGCTGGAATGATTCTTCTGTAATAAGTTCACATAATAGCGTGCGATGTATACATTTAAGTAGCTGAACAGAGGTAAAGAGAGGGGGAGATGGTGTGTTGAAAGAGGGTTTAGCATGCATTTAGTAATGACAACAGTAAATAAGCCTACAGGTTTACAAACCTAATCCCTAGTGTCTGATTGTAGCCCCTGTGTCTACCAGAGTCGGTTGGAAAGACGTTAAAAGGCTGTAAAGAAAGGGCTTTGGGGGGGGTTTATTTGTAAATATTGGGGGAGCTCACTGGGTGAATGATAGTTTCAAGTGGCATGAACGTAGTTGATTTGAGACCTCGATGGAAAGCTGTGGAAGTGCCTGTCGTGGTGCGCTTTGCCATGGAGATGTTAGGTGAGGATGTAGTAGGCTGCTGTTCGCTGCCTTGCTCTGCACTCTTCCCAATAATACTTCCCTTTAAGAGTTGGCTTGGGGGGGTGTTTTAACACCCAGCTTACTTCTTCCTGTGCCCTGCAGTAAAGCGGTTGTTTTTCTTAGCAGAAGAAATCCATGTCTAAGAGCCATTCCACGTGACGCTGCTGCTTTTATAAATAAGCTTTTAAGAGGTTGGACCAGATGTTGGCCACATCTGTGGTTTTATTTCATCAAACATTTTATTCCGGCTCTTTTATTAAAAGAAAAAATGATCATTTAGAAATTGTTTTGAAAAGTTTAGCAGCTGGGAAGATCTTTCTGGTATACAAAAAAAGCAAGGGGTTTACTTTCTGTGTGCTGGAGTGAGCCGTGTAACATCAAGCAGACAGGTATTTACAGCTGGGAGGTCTACTCCTGTTGGAAATTATTGCCATGGAAATTTTCACATCAAAATGGATGTATTCCGTTTTGAATTGGCATTCTGCAACAAAACACACTTTTTTTTCTCAGTGAAAACTAGGGATTCTGAAAAGCCCCTTGCATTTAATGAATACCTATTGCCTTGGCAGGAAAAAGGACAACTTGCGGGCAGAGGGATATCCTGCAATTACTCCCTCTACTGCTGTTATGGGGTCTAAGAAGTCCTTATTCCATATAACTTGCTTCTGGATTCTTCACTGCAATTTAACAGTTGGAGAATGAGCTTTCCATCCCCATTGCTAATTGATCCAATGAGAAAAACTGGCACCTAATTAAGTAACAACTTATATTTAAAATGACATGTGAAATTGTCCATGGTGCCTGAAATTACATCATTTTCACTCTGGCATATTAGGGCTGTATAAGTGAACAGGCACCTACTGTACCATGACAAACTAAATTTTAAATCTCTGATCCAAAAATATAGCAGGGTGCAGAAGGAGTGAGGTGTTTAATGATGAATAAAAGCAGTTGCAGCTTGATTTCAGTAGGTTTTTTTAATTGTTCTTAAGATGCTGTGGCAGTTTTTACAACAAATAATTTTGGGATGCAATTTTGTGTAAAGTTGAGCGGTGATGTGTATTTCTGTTACCACTTCCAATTTTTGATTTTCTAGCCTAGAATTTTCAGTAGTTACTGGTGATTTTTGAGGATGGCTCCCTTTTTCTGTGTCCACAATTCCAAGTCTGTGTAGATACTCAATATTTAAATTTGTCTGGTGCAGTGAATACGGAAAAAGAAAAGAACCCTTTATTTGCTCAGATAAACCAAATTGAAAATTGGGGGTGTTTTTTTTACCCAAAAACTTTGAGGAAACAAAAGGTAGATAACACAAAGAAGGGGGAGGTTGTCCTCCCTTCTGTCCTACAATTTGGTGGTTAAAGCACTTTACCCAGAATATGGGAAACGCTGTGCAAGACCCATTTCTGCACAAATAGCTTAAGACCTAGGAGACAGGTTATTCTGGCCTGGGCACACTCTTGCACTCTGCTGTTGAGCTATTTTAGTTTGTGTAATGAAGCATTTCTTGGACCCAGGTAGGCAGTCTCCTGGGAAGGTGTCTTGGACATTAGACGACAGCATTTACTCCTTTTCTTGGTGAATATTTAAGCATTTTGCTTACTGGAAGTTTCTGTTTCTGTTCCAGCAGAAGATACATTGTAGTGCAGAATACGCTGGTCTTCCAGGGGTGATACAGCATACAGTGATTCCTCTCTATGCTTTGCTAAAAAATTCCAGTGAGTTGTATTAAAGAGGTGGCAAATCGCTGGGACCTATTGTGTCACCTTGCTTTTCCTCTCCAGTCTTGAGCTAGGGTGTGCTTTGCCACGTCCTTGGGTCGCATCCCTGCCTCACTGGCAGGGTGCCTGCAGGAGGAGCTGGTGGTCCTGGTGCAGAAAGTTCTGCCTTTACATCACTGTACAGAGATCAGACCAGAATTAAAGCAAATGTACTGAATATATATAGTAGTTATAAAATCTTTCATACTTTTAAAGTATTTTGGGGGCAGAAAGGTTGTAAAATAGATCTGGTGCCTGGGACTGAAACACAGTTAATTTTTAAACGTGACAGCAATAAGAAATGTTCCTTAAGGCATATTAAGTCATATTAACATCATATTATCTGAACTGGTGGAATTGATATTATGAAACAATATCAGAAAAAAATCAAATCATGGTGTTACACTCTTCCTTGTGACAGGAATGAGTAAAACCCATTTCACATATGACTTAGCATGGAAAGTTCAAAACTTTGTGTTGGTTGTTTAAAGTGGTTTTTGAAAAGACATCTGATACTGATAAAGGTCTGAGTTGAGCAGAACCATCTCAAGAAGCACAGCCTATATTCCTAACCAGGTGTTTTGGTTGGATTCCTGACCCTGTGATTCCATGTACTTTAGGCAACTGGTTTAAATGCCCGAGTTTTGCAAAGAAAAGCATCATTTGTGTCTTCGGGGAATACTCATAATTCCTACCTTTGCTTGTCTTCCGCCGTTTGGTTGCCATAACCTGATGCTGGATCAAAGAGCTGCAGCTGCCTTCCTCTGCCACTGATCCAGAGCTGTACTGCTCAGAACCTCTGCTCCTTGGGAAAGTACCAGACTGGGCAATCAAACCATTCTTGGTTTGTGGAGAGCAGGAACTGTGAAGATGCCATGATGTTCTGCACCATTTTGGTTTGAATTTGTTATTGCAGATTGTTGAAACGGTATTTGTTTATTTTTTCTGCAAGTAAACTGGTTAGGTCATCTCTTGTCTAGTCATGATTAGACGTAATGGAGGAGACCAAGAAAATTGCTTCATTCCCAAGCATAAATCTGAGTGAATAATTTGTTTTCTTCTCTACCTGGACTACTTTAATACTGTATTACTGTTGTATGTTAAGGTGATGTGGAAAATCAGGTTTTGCTGCTGTATACTGTGCCAGTCCCAAATTAGGCCTAAGTTCTGCATTGTTAATGCTTTTTAATGCACAGAATATTTAAAAAATTGTTTTAAGATGTCTTAATAAATGCAAAACTAGAAAAAAGACATTGAAAATGTAATTACAGAAAGTAATTATTGTTTCACATTTATCTAGACCTTTCCGTAGCTTTTAAAAGTTATTTTAAAATTTGGAAATGTTTTAATAATTTCCATTTTACAGATAGAAAAACTAATACACATCTTTTTACAGAACTGGTGTGAGCTAAGTGGTTCAAATGGTGATAGATCAGAATTAAGACAAAAACCATGGTATGACTGTTGGCATGATGTTATTTGCTGGTTCATGCTGCTTCCTTGAAAACAGAAAATACTTTCTAAATCAGAATTTACAGATAAATTGTTGACTTATAGGCTCAGACAGATGAAAGAAAAACAGTCATCTTTTTAAGATGGTTTCCCCAGCTACCTGCTGAACATTTGTGCCTGTAAATTAAAATGGGGTAAAAAGGCAAGTTGAAGTGTCTGACGGATCTTTAGTACTAAAGAAGAATATGCCGATTCCTGAATTTTAAATGGATTTGTGTGTGCCTGTACCCCAGACTGAAAATACTCATCAGCAAATTAAAACTCCTGAATTAATGCAGAAGGATGCAAATATCTGAAGGGCAACCGTTAAGTGTTACTTCACCACAGAACTTGAATTGTGATAGATTTTGAACAAACATCTGCCTGATTAAAATGTGTTCTTTCCTATAGGTGAGAATACAGGAGATGGTGAATTAGATCTGAGCGGGATCGACGACAATGAAATAGATCGGGTAAGGTGCGCTCTTACTGTAGGTGTCTCTGGAGCTGGATATTCCAGAAAGACAAAATGATTTTTACCTGGTTTATCTTCTACCCTCACTGTCTCTTCACTCTGATCTATGGGGAGGTTCCAGTGATTTCAGTGGTCTGAGATCAAAACTAATGTTCACACAAGCCTGTGATGTTTGTGTTCCTTGCCAAAGTTATGTTTTAGAATATCCTTTATTCTGAAGAAGGACTTTTAGAAGTCTTTGGTGGAGCTCTAAATTAATTATTTAATTAAGATATCTATTCAGTACAGAAGGCTGCTATGGAAACCAAACTGTAAGACCAGGGTGTACAGCTTCTGTGTTCTTTTAAAGATTTCTGTAACATTTTCTGGTTTTATTATTATGTGTGTGGCAGCAAAAGATACCCTTTACCTCATAGCCTGAATATAACAGACAGATGTGTGGGAAATGGCTTGTTGAAGGCCGCAGAACAGGTCACTGCTTGAACATGCGACAAAGTCCGGCTCTCCTGACTCAGCCTATTGCCCTCTCCAGCTGCCACCCTGTTTTTAAAGTGTAATTTGGACAGATAATGCCAAAAAACTCATTTTGGGGTACAAAGTCATTGACAGCGATGATGTTGCATAGGGGTTACTGGTCTGCAGAACATTGTTGGCAGTGGGTGAATGCTCAGCTTGACTTCAGTTGTGAAGCAGGTTTTGCTAGGCTGGGTGTAGGAAGTCTTGTAAATTGAGCAGATATGGTATGGAGGAAGTGGGGAGGCTGAAGGTTTTCAGTATTGCTGGTCCCTAATTTAAACAATCATAGGGGAAGAGCAAGCACATGTTTTCCTCCTCCCAGGGTCTGTGATGAGCCGTAACTGATTTTAAGACCTCATGTTCATTTCTGTGGCAATAGACTGTAATATTGTGAACGTGAGATTATAGACTCTAAAAGCTTAAGAAGGATGAATAACTGTGCTAAGAGAAAGTGAGTTTTACTATTGTGGCTTCTAATAGAAGCAGATGAAAGAATGAAAATATCGGTTTGATAAACCAGGACTTTGCATAGCTGTTTACTTGCCTCACTTGTCCTCAGAGGAAAGATTCCTCCCTATATTAGCTTCATTTGACTGGAGATATTTTTCTCATAAAATCCTACATGTACATTTTACTTTGGAGAATATCTCATGTTCAAACCCATAAGATTGAGAAATCTCAAATTGTTTTGCAGGTCTCGGGTCTGCTGCTTAAAAATAAAGTCAGGTTCATGAAGAATGACCCAATTTGTCTTCTCCGTTCTGCAGAAGTTCTTCACTGCCAGACAGCATTGGCTATAGAGAACTTGTTTCACACAGTTGTGCTAAATGCTAGGTTTAGTTTTGCAGTTAAGCAATTGGGAGGAGATCTGTCTGCCAGCCTGCCTGCTACTTACCTGTTTATTTAATTCTGTAATTCATCTGAGTAAGCCTAGATGAGTTTTACAGCTCTGTACATACTAATGAGGTTACCAAGACTAAGTGAAGTTAACTGTAAAAAGAGCCTAGGTGCAGTTACTGAACCCAACGCTCTAAAATCTAGGGGACTAAATCTACAGCAATCTAAGCAGGTTTCATTCACACAGATGTGCCCATTGCACTAATAACCTCAATAACTGTGCCTAAACCTTCACAGAAACCTATCCAGAAGACACATGTTTCTGTTTTGGTGGCACAGGGCAATGGTTCCCATACTGTTTTGAATTACAGACCACCATCAACACACAGAATTACTTGCAGACGACCACATTGTCATGGTGCCCTCTAAAGTCATCTGAAAAAAATCATAAACTTGGGATCATTTTGGGTTATTACAGATCATGTACAATGACTCCTGGATGGTTTTCAGTCACCCCATCATACTTTGGAAACCAAGAACTGGTTTTTGAACACATGTTGTTTTCGCCAGTTTTAGAATTTACTAGAAATGCTCTGTGATTGTCACATCTCAGCCGTGTTTTATTAATGTATTTTTAAAAACAGAATGTGAATTGACCTTGCCAGTGGTTTTTCAGCTGAGTTTTGCTTTACGGTTTTCAAGTTTATTTCTGAAAGTAGATAAACTTGTTTTGTCTTTTAGTATATACTTAACGAAACAGAAGCTCAGATAAAAGCAGAGCTATGGATGAAAGAAAATGCAGATTATTTGAAGGAACAAAAAGGTAAGTATTAGGACTGAAATTCTCCTTTTGGCTAGTATTACTGAAATACGCAGTCTACATAATCTTCATACTGGTTACCCTTTTGTCATCTTTCAGAAAAGGAAGCAAGAATAGCAAAAGAAAAAGAACTTGGGATTTATAAGGAACACAAGGTATTAAACTGTGTGCTGATTGTGTCTGTTTGGTAATGTCCTGGAAATTCATTACAATTGCTGATCAACTCCATGTAGGATATATGGGCATATTGGTACAGGTCACCACTAAATGAGCAAAAGCTATTGTGTATCTACCTGTAATTGAATTATGAGGCTATAATTTTTCAGGTGGTGAGTAAAACTAATGCCCAAACTCTTATTTTAAATTACTATTATGAGGAAATTCTGTGCATGGCAAAGTCAGAGCTAGCTCTTTGCATTTGTGATTGCTGTCCTAATTGCTTGCTTATTTAAATACAGGTTTTAAGACATGCCTAATTTTTTTTAACATGTGCATGGGGATTTTGTTTGTACTTGCCATAACTTCAGTAGTTTTCTTTGCTCTTACAATAATGATTTCTTTATGAAAAACTGAACAGATCCTTGTTCCAGTCACTTGAAGAAGTATTTTCTTCTACCTTTCATAAAGAATGCGACAGTTATGTTAACAAATGGCATGTCCTGTCTCCATGTTTAGCAGTTTAAAGCAGCCTAATTGGCTGTATATTCACAATTTACAGCATTAGTTTTTTGTGTAACTGAGCAAGTGACAAGTCAAATCTTCCACATGCAACTAAAATCCTTGTTATTTCTTAGTGCATATATCCTCTTCTTTTTTTCCTGACTAATGCAAAAGACAGAGTTTCCTACTTCCCCTAGGTATTTCGACAATAAAAACAAAACCAGACAATGAAACACTGTTTTATGCTTCAGAGTTTCTCATTCATCCTGTGCTGACGCAAACATGGCAGTCTACCAGCAGTTTTCAAAGTTGTATAACTTGTTGACACCACCAAGTAACCCAAACACCCACTTTTTTGTTCGGACAACACAGGAGTTTTTCCTAAACTCTGTATTGTTTCTGACAGCTTGAGTAGAGCTTGATTAATATAGTGCTTTCCAATTGTAAGGTAGCACTTGACCCACGTAGGTAAACAGAGGGGCTATTATCCATTAAAAAATAAATCTCCTGCAGAACTTGGTGTTAAAACCTGCCTTTGAAAAGGAAATGCCAAATGGAAACAGAGGTTCTGGGCTTTTTTTCATAACTACCCAGGGGTAGTAGTTATGGGACGTGGGTAGAAATGTTCTCTTGTGTCATTTCTGTGTTGTCTGGCTCTGCACATCATCAACCTTCGCAGCACAAGGCTGGGCTTGGGCTTGTAGCATTTGCCTGGGAAGGGCAGTTGCAGGTTACGTTGCTGCTGTGTGTGTGTGTCTGCAGCCTCCTGCTTTCTGTCCGTCGGTGTTAATGCCAGTCCACACATAGAAAGCTGCTGGTAATATTCTTGTCCTTTTTCAATGTGGAGGGGGAGTTGAGTAGATGCTCTTCCAGGCCATATTCAGACTTGATATAAAAATACTAAGTTTTGCAGTTTTGATACAGAGTTGTCAGTGTTTAGGGGAATCATGACCCAGCTGGACTGTAATGGAAATTTTAGCAAGGCAGTTTCTTTATTTTCACACTGGGTGATGCTACAGGGTCCCTGTTCCTTTTTTTTGTGTGCCTGAGAAATGGCCCATGTTTCTTCTCTGGCAGTGTGACACATACTAAGTAAAGAATTTGTAATAAACTGTGGGCATTTGGCAAAAAGCAAACACTTATCTCTTGGAATAAAAAGACCTCTTGGTGCCATTGAGTGGCTGGAGAGGGAGCACTGGCTTAGCCGGGCTGCATTGCCTGCACCCCCGAATCAGCAGCAGCTGAGCCAGGGCTGCTGAACTGCAGCTTGCCCTTCTGCTTCATGGAAACTTTGTTTGTATTTACATCACTAATTTTATGTTTTAATTAAGCCAAAGAAATCTGCAAAGAAGCGGGAGCCAATTCAAGCCAGCACAGCAGGAGAGGCAATTGAAAAGATGTTAGAACAGAAGAAAATCTCAAGTAAAATTAATTATAATGTGCTAAGGGACCTGAACAGCAAAGGAAGTAACGCACCAAAGAAGGAGGATGACAGCACTGATGACAGCACCAACACCAAGAAGCTGTCAAGAAGAAAATCTATTGCCAGTAGGAATATAGCCAACCCTGTAAACAGTGTGGGAAAAAGGTACTGCAATTGTTGATTTATATCTCTGTCTGTGAGACTCTGTGTATCTTTCTGAGACAGACAATGTAGGGACTGAAACATTTGTTTGAGGCTAAAATAATGTCAGGGCTCTGTTTTTATTTATTTTACCTGCAGTGTCGTGGCAGCACTTTATTTATAGTTCATGTATCAAAGGTCTGCTTTGGTGTGAGTTAATCATCCTGAAGCCAACAAAAAAGAATCAATGGAAATTCATAAACGTGAATCTTTCAGCTAGGGACACATTTTCTTCGTACGGTCCTGACATTTGCTGTCCTTCCTTTCTGAATTGTCTGTATCAGCTGACACAATACTAAATGTTCAAAAGCTTTGGCTTTTTGCTTGATTTGAAAAATACAGTTTCCATCTGTTTTGACAGCTAGCTGCTTTGATTAGCTTTTATTTTAGTTTTATTCCAAACTTTTGTTGTTAATTGATGACACAAATATAAAGCTTTACAGTAAATACTCTTGTCGGTTTTCTGGTCTGCGTTTGCAAATGTTTTATAGTGTGGTGAAAGCTCCTATTTAAATGAGTAAAATTCTTGACTTGCTGGGCTGATTTGTAGCGTGCTATGAAGTGTATAAGGAGATTGATGTGTCCTATCTGCAATATTTATCTATTTTATTTGTCTTCCATTTATGAAATTATGTTGGATGATCATTTAAATTGTGTCTATGTGTAGTAATTTCTTACTTAGATGTTACTTATTTATTTACATGCTGCATAAAAGACATAGTTTTTTGCTTCCAGAAGTATAGGCCAAACAGCACAAGGAAACTTAGGAATTTAATTCTGAAATATAAGACAATGTCTTTGCACTGTAGTTCAGATGTAGGCATGTGTTGCAACTGGCTAAACAGGGAGGGCAGGCAGCCAGCCACAAGGTGCAAGAAATCATCTACTACTGCAAGGACAGGAGTCTTAGAATATTTGAAAACATGAAGCTGGGAGGGATAGTATGTGCCTCCCTCTGAGAAGCTAAGCATAATAAGGATGACTAAGCCTAACCCCCTATTTTGACCTCGTGTGGCAGCGAGGCCAGAGCATGGGCAGCCAAAATTGAAGACCACATCACTGGTCCCAGTGTTGCTGGGATACAGGTTTTTGCAGAGTACCAAACATATTTTCTTTCTTTTCTGTGCCTTCTTTATTCTGTATTTTACCAAGATGGCATCATCCTTGTTCAACTTCTCACAGCTTTGCCTTCCAGTTCTTCTTTAGAGCTGTGTAAGTTGCTACTTAAGGTGATGTCTAACAACTCAAGCATGTAAATTTTCCACTGGTGAAGGAAAGTGAAGATGCATTGAGGATTAACTAAAAGCTTTTAGCCTGTGCTTTAAGCAGTCATATTTTGGTATTTCTAGTAAAACATGAATGATTTCAGTCCATGGACATGTACTGAAAGCATGGACATTTCAGTTGTCTGAAATGCAGTGCTGCAATGGGCGATTGGGTCTGGTTAGGATCCTGGTTGCGTTTCAGAGCTCACTGGTAAGAGCCACGCTCAAGCTGCTTCGCTACTTCTGAACCCTGTCACTCCTGAGGTTTGCAGAAATGTTGGGAACTCGCAACTCCTGTTGAAGTCAGCATGTTAAACTCTTAACAGGTGTTAAACTCTTTGGAAAATCATGCCGTAAATATTAAATTTAATAGTGGTACAACTTGAAAAGGTTTCTAAATAAACAGAAATCTGTATTTTCCAAAAGCAGCTAATAAAACATGGTTATTTTTCCTCTTGAGAGCCTAAAGTACATCCTTAAGATGCGTAACAGAGTTTCCTGATGCTGATTAGCAGATCTCAGATACAAAGAGTTTTGCATCAGAACACTTCAGAGAGAGGATTGGGGGTACATGCAGATATGTGAGTTAAGGTTTTGCATTCCCCAAGTAGGCAGTGTGCTTGCTTAAATAATATCAAGGACTTGGCAAACCATTACTTGGGGTTTGTTTTTTTTTTCCTTACAATTAGAGATTTATGACATACTTTTGATTTTTTTTTTGGTAGTAGTCTAAATGCCATGCCTTTTAAATGGCATGCATAAATTTCTGTGTTCTGCATTATTCTTATATGCCACACATTCATTGCCTTTGTTCAGCATTGTTCCTCTGAGAGGTGAATGGCTAAATACTTTTCCAGTGATACAAAAATCATGGTAATTTATATGCAATTAATAATAATAAAACCCCTGAACATTGCTCATTAGAAAATGAGTGAAGCACATAATGTATCTTTATCCAGGAGGCATTTGCAGAGATCGTACAAACATTTTGGTTTGTAGTGATGTATAGTCCTGTGTGTTTATCTTTTTATGTCTTAAACATTTAGTAAGCTGCATTTGACAGCAGTAGCTCCTTGAATAACCATGCTTTGATCTGGTCCTTTAGTTCATCTGAGTAATAGATTTTAAAGAGCTACTGAGTTAGCCCTAAACTTAATTAGAAGGTACCAGTACCAAGTAACAGGGAACTTCACAGGCTAGGAACAGAATACTCATTCTTGGTGATTAAAGCAGCACTCCTGTAAAGGTATAAAACTAGGAAAGTAAATTTATTTATTTTTTAATAAATTAATATCTTTTATTACCTTCCTTTTGCAAGCCAAAATTTTATATACTTCACCAGGTTTGGACTGACAATGCAGACAAATTTGTTATTTGTTTAGATGTAGCACCCGGGACGTAGGAAGTTGATCTTCATCTCCATTTTTCTAATTGCCCCTTGTTATAAAATACACTAGGATGCTATTTACTTATAGAGAGTTTCAGATTATCTCTAAAAAAAATTGCAATCCTCAGTCAGACATGGTATAATCTGTTTTTTCTTTTTTTAACATGGGATAAAATAGCAGTTACAGTGTTAATCAGTTAAATATTGGAAAAGCTTTTGTTTACTGATGTGATAATAATAAGCAAATTTTACAGTCTTGTAAAAAGTTGTTGATTTGCAAAGAGTTGGAATGCTAGGTATGGTCCCAGGAGTGTGCTTAAACTGGATATTCTTTCAGTTGGTGGTCCTTTTAATGTCGCTTTATTGCTACCATAATCTCTTAATGGTTACTTGGATTCCAAGATAATATAGTTTATCATGTTACTTCATGTAAAATCCTAATTTTGTAATCTTGGAAATGTTTGGTATTTTCTGAAATTTTGTAAGGAAGGTACTTTCAAAGAATTATTCCAAAGATCATGTGGATTTCTCCTTCTTAGACAGACATTATATGCATCAGTGTGTTCAGAAGCAAACTGGATTTTTGAACAGGTTTCTTTACCACGAATGCTGTGCAACTTTTTGAGTTTTAGCAAAAGATGCTTTTCTCAGACCCATCTCCCAGAATTATACTTGGGTTTTACTTATTGTATCTGTCAAGATGGTAGAAGACTAGTAATGACAATGTAAGTCATTTTAGGAACTTTTATATTGTGCAAATGTGTTTTATTACATTTCTTAATGCATTTTTGTTCCAGTGGGTATCATGATTGGTGCTTCATATGCAAAAGCTGTTTCATTCTCTGTGCGTTCAAGATGTTGCATAGTGGATGTTACCATAATAGATGTTGCAACTTTAATTTCAATTACCAGTTGCTGAGTTTATCTTCACTAATGTCTTCTATGCATCTGAAGCATAAGAATAATATGTTGAACTTCTACAAAAGAACGATTACCACTTCAAGCTACTTAAAACCTGAACTCCAGTTAGAGCTCTGCATGTGTTGCAGCTCTTCAAGTCCAGTACAGAGGGGTTTTTTTAGGACTGGAAGCTTTTGGTTAGAAGCTTAATAATTTATTTTATATATTTACTTGAGCTGAAGCTTACAGCATTACTTGTGACGTGAAATGTGTTGAACCAAGAAAATGTGGGAACAAGAAAGCTTTCAAGTCACTACTTTTTAAAAATTTGAAGCCTATTTATTGCTATGTGCTTGAAATTGGTAATGATATCAGAAAAGACAGGATATATTATCAGGGGAGTAAATGTGTCAGGTTAATCTCCTGAAGAATTTGCCTTGTAAGAAATGCAGCAGGACTGCGAAGCACGGCTGAATCCATTGTAATGAAACAGGGTTGTTCTGAATGGAAGCATATGAATATTATAATAGAAAACCAAATCATGCCTGCTATGAAAATGACAAAAGCCCTTGGTAGGCATCTCAGATTTTATTAGATTTGGAAATTCACCTCCAAATTTTATCCACAGTCTCAGTTGTTTTTACTGACTACCCATTTTGCTAGTACACATTGGCACACGGCTCCACCTTTGCTTTGGAGCCATGGGATCCACAAACAATGTGTTTGCAGTACCAGGGACTTGTTCTGCTGCTCAAGTTCCTGCCCTAAGATGCACACTTTCAATTAGCATCTCTGGCTGCATTTTTGTTGGCTTTTTAGTGGGTGTCATGACCCCAGAAAAATCCCCTTTATTATGACAGAGAACGTATGTAATACTTTTCTACAGTATTCAGTGTATCATTTAACATGATAAATTACTTGGTACTTTCTTGGTTCTAATGGGAATCATGTTCCCCCAGGGGGTAAAATATGGGTAGAAGTATAATTTAGGTACTTTGGATGAGCCTGATGATCCCATGCTGCAGAGGGAGCCTGGGGAGATGGAGTTGGCTCCCCCCTGCAAGGCAGTGGGAGCACTACCCCAGTGCTCCCCAGCTCTGACCCTCATCTACAGCTGGCCCTTTCTGGTGTCCAGGATGGAAATACTGCACTGTATGGTGGAAGTTTGTTTTGAGCTCATTGTCTTTGCCAGATTATTTTTGGTAACACTGTGGGAAGAAGGGGGCATAGGGTTCTGTTTCTCACACCCAGCCTGAAAACTTTCTCTTCACTTGTTGATACTGCAGATGTCCAGCAGAATCTCTATTTCTTTCTCCTAGGGAAGGAGGAGGGAAGAAGCCCCAAACTAGCTTTACCCTCACATGCAGGATCAATGATTGTGATAAGCCCTTTACTTGTAGTTTTAGGGTTTA